GGTAACTGTGGATCTAAACAGATTTATTGAAACATTTCTTACTTTGGGATAACAGCTAAGCTCCGATTTTTTTTTTTTTTTTTTTTTTTTGAGAGAGATAGAGAGAGAGAGAGACAGAGTATGAGCAGGGGACAAAGAGAGAGACGGAAACACAGAATCTGAAGCAGGCTCCAGGCTTTGAGCTGTCAGCATGGAGCCCAAAGCTGGGCTGGAACTCATGAACCATGAGACTTGAGCCGAGTCGGTCACTTAACCAACTGAACTACCCAGGCGCCCCTCTAAGCTCCGATATTCTAAAGTGATTGCGAGTGGAAAAAAACAAGAAAGCTAATAATGAGGGGCTTCTTCGTTTAGGGAAAGGGTATAAGGCCCTCAGCAGTGTGATCCTTGATTTGTGTTAAGAGTAGACTGCCCTATTGGTTTCCCCTTTTTTTCTGTCTTTAGGGACAGATAACCTGCTTGTAGTGTTGGGGAGTGGGGGTGGTTAAAGAAATGTAATGCTTTCTTCACTCCCTTTCTCCCTGAAACCTGTTTATGTAAGAGGTGCCGTCGACCTTTAAAAAAACCAGCTGATTTTGTGGGGCACCTGGGTGGCTCAGTCGGTTAAGCGTCCGACTTCAACTCAGGTCATGGTCTCGCGGTTCGTGGGTTCATACCCCACGTCAGGCTCTGTGCTGACCGCTGGGAGCCTGGAGCCTGCTTCAGATTCGGTGTCTCCCTCTCTCTGACCCTCCCCTGTTCATGCTCTGTCTCTCTCTGTCTCAAAAATAAATAAAACGTTAAAAAAAATTAAAGAAAAAACCAGCTGATTTTGAGCTTCTCCTTTCTTTTCCCCTCTGATCCTGGCACTAAAGGGCAGTGCAGTGGCTAAGAGGTTGGCATCAGCAGAGAAAACCAAAGTTCAAGGGAATTGAAAATTGGGTAATTTTCCCTGAACGACCAAGTGCTTATTTTATTCTGTCACATGACATTCCTGTTATCAAGAAACAAGTTATGGCATGACGACTTTGAAAATGGAAATGGGGAAAAAAGGATGTGATGGGAATATCACCACGGTTGATGGCCTTTGGCGTAGGGGAAGCTTATTGAAGTTTGTAATCAAACACCCCGGTTCCAACCTGCCTTTACCTTCCTCTGTCAGGCAGTGTTGCCTGTCAGCCCCCCAACCAGTATCCCTGGGGGAGACGATGCTTCATCTTAAATTCACACCAAGTTTTGAAATGACACAATGTCATTTCATTTCTTTGTTCACTCATTTAACAAATACTTATACAGCCCCTCTTACTGGCAAAGCTCTGCATTCCTCATTGAGTTCTTGGTGAACAGGGTACGGCCCCTGACTTGATGGAGCTTACATCTGGTGGAGGTGAAAACTGGGGGCTGCGGTAAGTTGGGAGGTCTTACGATCACAGGGAGCGCAAGGACCTGGGGCGGGCCCCCCCCCGGTGGCCAGGTAGCCCCTGGCTAGCCTCGCCTGGATAAATGCCTTCTGGGTTCTTTGTCACAGCTTTGCTTGGGTTTAAATTAGAATTTATTAGGTTCTATATCAAGTTTTAAATGACTGGCTTCAGATACTTTTCCGACAGGGAGGGAAGGTCATGCTGAGAAAGTAGTGGAGAGTGAGGAAAGAGGAGGCCGGATTCTGCCAGATGCATTTGCTTAAAGGGGGTGCTTAACCAAGCAGTGTGAGGGTAGTACCTGCGGCTGGGAGGCTGGGAATCGGGTAGAGAATGTGGCTGGGTGGTAACTGTGAATATAACAGGAGTCGCTGCCTCTCCCGTGGCACTGGGACGGGAGCCCCATGGTGCCAAGTTTAAGAGGCAGCTGTTGGACTTGTAGACCCAGAGGTTTGGTTCCTGTCTGCAGCTCTAGCCAGCAGGCGACATTCATTCTTCATCATTCTGTCACTTCAGCTCATGTTTCCTTGGACAGACTGAAAACTGGACTTCACACTGTGGTCCCTTAGGAAGGTGGTTTCCAAAGAGCTGACCCATTGGGCTAATAATGCCAGGGTTGTAAGAGGAGTGACTGTTTGTTTCTGGACCACCTTCCAAGTGCCAGGTACTGTGCTCAACACTTGTCTGCCGCAGCTCTGAGTCTGTTCCTGCCTGAGAGGCAGGTGGCAGTGGCCTCACTTTACAGAGAGAAAACAGAGGCTGCTATGGGTACCTCTTAAGCAGAGCTGATTGAGAAATTGTGTTTTCAGTGCCCTATTTTTCTAACATCCAGTCTTCTCAGGTCTGGATTGATTTGTCATTTTCCTTTACTAGATGACGTGTAATAGACTGAAGAGCCCTGTGGGCTTGTCATCCCAAGGGAAATTTTATGGCATTGTATGGGGTTTTTGTTTGTTTTGCTTTTTATTTTTTAATTTTTGTTAATTTTTTTTAACGTTTATTTTTGCAGGAGAGAGCGAGACAGTGTGTGAGTATGGGAGGGGCAGAGGGAAAGGGAGACACAGAATCTGAAGTGGGCTCCAGGCTCTTAGCTGTTAGCACAGAGCCCGATGCAGAGCTTGAACTCACAAATTGGGAGATCATGATCTGAGCTGAAGTCAGACGCTTAACCCACTGAGCTACTCAGGAGTCCTTTGTTTTGTTGTTTTTTTTTTTTTTAATTTTTTAACGTTTATTTATTTTTGAGACAGAGAGAGACAGAGCATGAACGGGGGAGGGTCAGAGAGAGGGAGACACAGAATCCGAAACAGGCTCCAGGCTCCGAGCTGTCAGCACAGAGCCTGATGCGGGGCTTGAACTCACGGACTGCGAGATTGTGACCTGAGCCGAAGTCGGCCGCTCAACCAACTGAGCCACCCAGGCGCCCCTGTTTTATTTTTTAATAGAGAGCATAGATTAGGCTGTTCACAAATGCTCTGAAAGGATCCCAAATCCTAGGTGAGAGAGACAGCTCTCCTTTCTTAAAGCTCTGCAAACTTCTGAGTTTCTGTAGATAATTGGTTGCTGGGTAAGAAATTAAAAACAAAATTTAGTGTTGAACATTCTGGAGCAAAATCTGTGCATGTTCAATTCTTATTTATGTGGTACTTTGGACAAAAACTAAACTTTGCTGGGTAGTAATTATCTCCAGCTCCTAAAATTACAGGTAGTAAGGGCTTCAAGGCCCTATGCGGCTATAATTAGTAAAGATGCATTTAAAACAGGGTTAGTGAGTGTGGGTTCGTTACTGCATTGGATTCTAGCTCAGCATTTCAACTGAGAAGGATCAGCTCCAGAGAACATTTGCAGAGGACTCAGTGGAGGGTCGTCATGGAGTTAGCGTGTTTGGGATTAGAGTGCACAGGGTGTTCGTCATGAGCATGGATAATTTCTGCCAGCCTGGCTGGCAGCCTGTTTATAGGGAGGAGCTTATTCCCTGCCACCCAATCACAGGCATTTCTGTTCACCTTAGGTAGAGTACACAGTGGTTCAGGTTGTTAATATGTAGTGGTTTTTTTTTTTTTTCCCTAAAGAACTACAAAGCCCCAGTATTAATAATCTTTCACTGTTGCTTATCTTGCCTTAATCTCAGGATTGAGGCAAGGTGGCCAAGATTTTCTAGTTGTGGCTTTAATAATTCTCTTGTTTTTTACCTCTGACTTTCCCTGGCTGTCTGTCCTTGTATTTTATGGTGTTTGAAACAGGCCTTCTGTTTTTCCTTGCAAATCTGTGTAGTCCATACAAAGGAGAGGACCTGCCTTGACCAGGATCCCTCTCTGGGACCCTGTGACATCAGTGTTTTTAGTCCTGTTTTTCCAGGTGAGGGACCTGGTGAGGTCTGGAGTCAAGTACCCCGTGGGAGTTTGGGGATTCCAGCTCAGAGTTTCAGACTCTAAACAGCTGACCTCTTTGGACTTCATTTGAAAGGAAAAATAAATGGCCCAGCTCTCAAAGCCGTGAAAAGTTCTAGTATATTCTATGAGTCAATATATATCCTTGATCCCTTTTTTTAAAAAAAGATTTTTGCCTCTGAGATTTTTACCCTCCTTATTAAAAACAGTGACTTACTCAGAATTACACAGCAACAGCTGAAAAGTCGATTAGCCTCTCTCCTTGCCCTAATCTAATATCAAAAACCTGGAAAGTTTACTAAGCATGTGATTACAGTGGAAGCTTTAGGAGCTGGAGAGGAACTGATAGAGAAAGAATGGAGCGAGAGATAAGAGAGTAATTTGCAAAGAGACTGCAGGGTGGATTTTACCAAATTGGAGATTTCTTTTACTTGTAATTTTCTGGTTTGGGGGTCTATCTCCTTTGTTCCAGATGTAGGCAGATCAACTTAGCCTTGTCTATGTTGCCCTGGGCCACCTGTGAATTTTTTTTGGGGGGGGGCGTTAGGTGGGGGTGGTGAGGGTATAGGGTGAGGAGGAGGAAGAGGGCAAATGGGGAGTGGGGAGGGATTAAAGCCACTGGTTCCCTGGTGTCTGGCCTGCTCAGGACATGACTGCCTCTCATTACAGGACTCGGTCCCTGCAGTGAGTCCAGCTTCTTGGGTGAGAGGCAGCTGGGTGGTAGACAGAAGAGAGAGGGCAGGGCGGGCTTCAGATTTCTCCAGAGACCTGCCCTAGATGAGTTAATTCTCATGATTGCAGCAAATCATCCTAGAGTACTTACTGCCAGCCTTGTCTGAGAGGCTCTTAATCTAACAACTCTAGGAAACAAGTGCTACCATAAACCCATTTTACAGGTGAGGGAAACGAGGCCATGAGAAACTGGGTAAGTTGTCAAAGTTGTGCACCTACCAGATAGTAGGATCCAGGGTTCAAACTAGTGTGGCCCTTTGCTGTGCTATTAATGACTGAGATGGCCTCTTCAGACCCAGACATCTGGTTTCCGCACCGGCTCTTCATTTCTTTGACCAAAAAAGGCTTGCTTGCAGAGGCCTTTATCTCACACCATTGGAGCTCTTTGCGTACCTGCTCAACTCCCACAAACCTGTGAACAACCCTGTAAAGAGGAGGGGGGCTCTCCACTGGCTTTGTATCCTTGGATCAAGTAGCAGGTGGGTGCTTGGTGAAGTTTCACGGAAGGAAGGATGGAAGTCAGTTGGCCTTTCATAACTTGATGTCCCTGTGTTTCTTCTATCTGTGGCAGCTGCAGCGGTTTCTAAACAGAAGAGAAACATGAGTGAGCGTGGGGCAGTGTTTCATAAAAGTAACCAGAATTTCTGAAAACACATTTAAAAAATGTATTTCAAGTTCCCATGGCCAGGATCTTATGTTTATGCTTCAAGCATTTATTATTTGCAGGGCTTGCCTCTTCCTAACCCTAACCCTTGCGGGTTATTTTGTGAGTAAAGAGGTCCTTGAGACTCTCATACATTGTTGGGACTGCTCTTCTCAGCAGAGGCAGCAGAGACTATTTGGGGTCGAGCACCAAATAACAGGAGGGTTCAGGCCTACCATCCCTTTTCCTAGGGCAAGACGCAGGCTCACATTTAAATACACATAGCAAGTAGCTCTGTGCCTTGTATCCTCCTCGTTCTGTCTCCACACCACGGGGCGAGAGTATTGGGGTTTCTCCTACTTGGGTTGGGAGCCACGGCTGCCCTTCGCTAGGAGTGTGGAGTTCCAGCAGCTTCCTTTTGGATTTTGGATTTGTTTCCTTGCCTATAAAATGGGGTCGTTACAAGTGCCTGCTTCGTAGAGTTGTTAGGGCCACATCTCTTTGACACTAGAATTTTTTTTAACGTTTATTTTTGAGAGAGAGCACAGGCAAGCACGAGTGGGGGAGGGGCAAGGACAGAGAGGGAGACACAGAATCTGATGCAGGCTCCAGGCTCTGAGCTGTCAGCACAGAGCCTGATACGGGGCTGGCACCCACGAACTGTGAGATCATGACCTGACAGACAGGGTGGAGTTAGACACTTAACCACTTAACCTACTGAGCCACCCTATAGAGTGGTTCTCAAATAGGGCCCCGCAGGGGATGTTTGGCAATCTCTGGGGACTTTCTGGGTTGTCATGACTGGGGGGTGGCGGTGGCTACGGGCGTCTAGTGGACAGAGTCCAGGGATGCTGCTAAGTACCCCAAAGCACACAGGACAGCCCCCACGACAAAGAATTACCTGGCCTGAAATGTCAGTCATGCCAAGCTAAGAACCTGGCAAGTTGGGACCTCTAACAGCGGTGGCTGTTTTTAAAAACATTCTTATCAAAGGGATAAAGGGGCACAGGACCAGTGACAAAGAGCCCTGCTTTCTTAAGTAGGGAGGAAGGAATGGAAATTAACCTTTTACTGATGTTTCTCTGTTACCCCACAGGTGCCCCTGAAGTGTGAGAAATAGCTACTTTCCTCTCTGCTAAGGGGTTCCCAACTTCATTTGTAATTGCTTGCATCTATTTACATATAAATAATACATATACATTTACATACAAATAACTAATATGCTAAAACCCTTAACCTCTCTGGGTAGTTAAACCCCGGGCCCTGAAGGCAGACAGCAGAGTGGGGCCCTGGCGTAGAAGCCGGGCTCCTGCTACCTGTGTGTGGCCTAAGGTCAGCTACAGACCTGGGGAGGCTTGCTTTTCTTTTCCGTAAAAGAGGGCAGGTGACCCTCTTATCTTATGTTGCTCCAGGACTAACGGAAATAACCGTGCACGTGTAGAAACAGCCCCACGTGCGTGAAGGTGGTATGGCTCCTCAGGCAGACCTTCCGGTCGCGTTTTTCAGAGAACTCTGCTAAGTGGCCACTCAGTATGTGGCACCACAAAGGATTAGGGCCCAGTAGCCAAAGAATGCTGTGCTGCTGGCCAGGTGGTAAACTAGGCCCAGAAAACATTCCTGCGGCATAGCGTGTGATTCGTGGTTGTGAGCGTGTGTGTGGGTGTGAACTGCTTGGTCGCCCCACCTGTGGCTTCACCCTTTGGCTTTTCCCTTCTTTGTTCTGTGACCCTCGGTAAGCTCCTTGACCTGCTCGCGCCTGGTTTCCTCGCCTGTGAAATGAGGCTGCCAGTACCACCACCACCCACCTGAGGGTAGGCGTAGGGGAAGTGACTTGGCCTTGAGTGTGCCGTGCATGGGAAGCTTAGCCCAGTAGATGTGGTCTTAATAAAATAATACTATGTATCATTTTGGCCTGCCGCATGTGTCATTTTTCTCAGGTGAGGAAGGGATTGCCCCTGGGTTAGGAGCTGAAGAAAGTTTTCTCTGGAGTTCCTGGTATCTTGTAACTTCATTGTAGTGAAATACACACAACATTAGCTCGGCCATTTTTACCAGCGTAACTTGAAGCAATTTAAATTTTAAGTGGCATCAAGTACCTTTCTAGCGTTGAGCAACCATGTCCACTAACTCCAGAACTTTTTCATCCGCCCTGAGGGAAGCCGCGTCCCATAGAGCAGTCACTTCACATGGTCCCTGCGACCCCCTCCCTCCCTCCCTCCCAGGCCCTACGACCCTGGTTTCCAATCTGTCTCTGTGGAGTTGCCTGTCCTGGACATTTTGTTTAAATGGAGTGCTACCGTTTGTGGCCTTCGTGGCTGACTTCTCGGACTTAACATTGTGCTTTCCAGGCGTATCCATGCGTCGCAGCAATGACCACCGCTTCATGCCTCTTGACCTGGTCTTTTTGGAGAGCAGCCCCAGCCTCAGTTTCATTGGTCTGTTCTCTTCACAAGTCATGTCCTGTTGGCAAGCTTTGAGATGTTTTTCTTCATTTATTTTGGCCCATTTTGGCCAGCCTTATTTTGTCCACTTTTCCAGTGATTCTAATGGCCCTTGAAGTGAATATTGGAATGAAGGGCCCAGCCGGGTCCTCAGTTCTGCTGGGGAGTAAGGTCTTAACGGGGATTTTGTTTCTGTTGAACAATTAGCAGCAGGAGTGTGCACCCGGGCCTTGAGTTGAGCTTCATTTCCCCGGGACAGGGTGGCAGGTTTTAAAAACAAGTGTCTGGAAAACACCTACCAGGCCCTTTTTATTCCTCTGTTTAAAAGCTTTCCACAATGAGAAGTGGCCCTCAATTAAGTTGGTTAATAAAAACCTCCCTCTGTTTTAAAGCATTCTTGGGAAGTGTTTACATTGAACAGCACTGTGGGTTTCTAAATGAGAAGCTGTGGAGTGAGTGATCCTTAACCTGTGACTTTAATAATATCCTTTGCTTTAGATTTCCAGGTGGAGGCCTGGGCCAGATTTGTAGCTTGTCATTGATCCAGACAATCTTGACTCTATCCTGTCCCTCCCTCCCCCTTCAGCCAAACCGGTAGAAGATTGGACAGACCTGAAGCAGCTCGGATATGTAAACCAGCTCACCAGAGAGGACTGGGCTGAAAGGGGGTGGTGTATTCCCTTGTTCTGACCTTAGTAATAGGGTGGGGGGCTTCAGCAAGAAGAGATTAAAGCGTTGAGGAGAGCAGCTCAGAGTTTCTGAGGTCCTGGGTCCTTCGGGAGAGGCCTGAGCTTTCCACTGGGATTTGGAGCTTGCTTGGGCTAAGGAGGCCACAGGTGCTCTGTAAATAGATGTTGAATGAATAAGTGAAAATTGGTAGAACCGAGGAGTTCATTAAAAAATAAGTCGAGTTTTTTCTGTCTTTTAAAAAATAACTTCTCATTTCTGTCTTTTAATTAAATAGTACATTTGTAGAAGAAAGTAGATTGCACCATCAGTAAATGTACAAATAGGATCACTTAGATGCATAAATGTTGGCTTTCATCCCTCCTGTGATTTAATCCAGGACAATAAATGAATGAAATGAATAGAAGCTTTGTTAACAGAGACCCCTCGACCCCAATAGGATTAGGAACCTTGGGGTTTTGCTAGACTAAAAAGGTACTTGTAGGAATGAGTTGCCTTTGTACTTTCTGATCTCAGCTCCCTGTGGAGTAGGATGATGCCACGTGTATAGAGCTGCTTTATGTGTGTTTGGTTAATGAAGTAAGATCTCTTTAAGCACAAATCATTGTTTTTGGTGTTAACAGTGGTTATGTGAGTTTTTGCTGCATAATAGTGCTGGGTGACAACCCCGGATCTCAAGGTGTCACAACCACAAACATGTATTTTCCCACTTGCTCCTCTTGATCAGGTGTGGTTAGGTCGACCTAGGCTGGCCTTGACTGGGTCAGGCTTTCATTTGGCTTCAGGTCTGTTCCACATGTGCTTACTCTGGGGCCAGGGCTAAAGGGGGAGCAGTTACCTCGTACAGGTTCATCACATGGCAGCTCACTCCAGCAGAAGATGTCGAGTGGAAACGTGTGATGGCTCTTAAGACTTTGGCTCCTAACTGCCAAATGTTCTACCAACATTCCACTAGCCAACACACGGCCAAACCCAACATCAGTCTGGTAGGGAGGCATGCTTGGTCTGTTCTAGGGGGAGGTACTGCAAAGTCACATGGCAAGGATGGTGGACATATCACCCCATTACAGGGGAGTGAGGCACTGGAGGATCTGGAAGAACAGCCTCTTGGGAACTTGTGGAACCTAGGCCAGCTGGGTGAAAAATCATAGACAGTTTGTCCAGGTACCAGCCGATGGCTTGGTAATTATCATAAATTAGCCTGACATGCACTGACTCTTGCCTAACCAAACATCACTTCATGTTCATTCACAGTGATGGTGGTCCTGGGGGTTCTGCTTATCTGTGGGAGGGGCAGAAGTGATGAGCTGGGTTTCTCTTTGGTCAGTAGTTGTGACCTGACAGGTGCCCACTGTGATGGCAGGAGAGTGACAGGTAGAGCAAAGAGGACAAAGGACCAAAGTATCCAGGGAGACTGGGGGTTTGACTTACCCTTTGCAAGGTCCCTCCTCAGCATTGGTCTTTGGGAGTGAGCCTAAATCCCACCTTTAATAGTCACTGACACTCTTTAGCATCAGGGCCTTCATGCATGCTGCCCCATGTTTATTTTTTTTAGTGTTTATTTGGAGAGAGCGAGAGAGCACATGCGTGCAAATGGGGGTGGGGCACAGAGATTTAGGGAGAGAATCTTTTTTTTTTTTTTTTTTTTTTTTTTTACAGTCTCCAGGCTCTGAGCTATCAGCAGAGAGCCCGATTCGGGGCTCGAACTCATGAACCGTGAGATCATGACCTGAGCCAAAGTCGGACACTTAACCGACTGAGCCACCTAGGCGCCCCGGGGGGAGAGAATCTTAACCAGGCTGCACACTCAGGGCGGAGCCCGATGTGAGGCTCGATCTCACAGCTATGAGGTCACAACCTGAGCCGATATCAAGAATCAGAAGCTTAACTGACTAAGCTACCCAGGCGCCCCATGGTCCCTATTCTTATAAGGACCCTGGGCCTTAGTTTCCAGAGTCCTCCTTTTGTATGTGAAGAAACAGGCCTCAGGAAGGTTGGGTGACTTCTCTTCAAGTGGATCCAAACTAGGTCATCCAGTTCCCACTCTAGGGTTTGTCCTTCCACACACCTATGACTATCTTGGCCCAGAAAGAGAATGGTGACTGGCTTTAAGGCATTACGGCATATCCTGTATACCGTATGTGACAGTGTCTCCTTTCTGAAGGAGTCAGGTGAGCCTTGTGCCAAAGTGCAGTGCCTTGGGAGGCGCAGAATGAAATGCTGGTTAAGAGTAGTCAGCCCTTGTGTTACTTGTTTGCAGTGTGTCTTTTTTCATGAAGAGCTGTCAGGCTCTCCGAGGGAAAAAAGTCTCTGGCCATTAAGTGCAAATGCACTGAGAACAGATGGGGGCTAAAACCCTGTGAAGCCAAGGGCGTGAGGAGACAAAGCACTCATACGTGCCATGGGTGGGGTTATAAATCCAGTGGACTTCTTTTTGGAGAGCACTTTGGCAATGGGGATTCTTTCACCAGCTAGTAAATAAAACCCAAAGAAAAGTGGTTGAAATAATAAAGCTATGTATTATCTCATGTAAACCAGAAGTTCAAAGCTAGGACATTTTGGGCATGAATTAATAGAAGACCCAGATGCATTGTCTCTTTTCTCTGTGCCAGCTTCAGTATTTGGCATTTGCCCTCAAGCTTGTCTCCCCATGGCCCTCATGTGGCTGCTGCTGCTGCTCCTCCAGCCTGTATCCTCATATGCAGTGATGTTCAGAGGCAGGAAAAGAGCAAAGCGGAGAATGCCTCTGCCAGAAGCCTCCTGCAGAACTTCCATAGCCCCTTTGGCCAAACTGGGTCAGATGCCCACACCTGAACCAATGACTTGCATGGGAGAGGCGGCTCCCATGTTTTGCTTAGACCAGTCTCTGGGTTAGAGGCCCAGCCTTCCCTGAAGCACATGGGTACTGGGAGGAGAGGGGACAAAACTGGAGCTTTGCTGGCCAGGAGGAAAGGGGCAGTTGTAGGTAACCTCTGGTGTTGGCCACAGCATTCTCTTTCAAAATTAAGAATGTATATATTCTAACTGAGTCCTTCCAGGGTTAAGAATGTATCTTACACCTGCATAAGTGTTCTGGCAAGCATACAAAGGTATTCATTGCAGTATTATAATAACAAAACAGTGGAAATAACCTAAATATCTTCCAGTCATTGGGCAGATCTGTAAATACTGATAAGGAAAAATTCACAAAATATACCATGAAGTTTTTTTTTTTTCTTCCCCAAGCAAGGTACAAATTAGTATGTATCCTCAGATCCCATGTTTGTTTTTAAAAAGTCTTAATTCTTGGTTGGCAAAGATAAATTTCTGTAAACAGTCCCAAGAAACATGGTTATTTATTGGTTATGGGATCGGTATGGCTGGGAAGGGATGTTTCTTTACCATTTCAACAGTCTTTCTTGACTATTTGAATTTTATAAAAAATCACTGTATGTATTACCTTTAAAATAGAAAAGAAAATGGTAGGTGTTTTCTTAGTGTGTACAGGAGCTTAAAAAGAGGAAACCAGGGTTCTAACATGGGCGTTATGAGGAATGGGAGGGCCACTTGACTGTGTGTAATTGGCCTGAAGGGAAGTTGAGAAGGAAAAAAGTCCAGGAGTGAAACAGTCATTTTTAAAAAATCTTCCTTGGTATACTGCACATTGTCTTACACATAGTAGATTCAAATGCACATTTGAAGAATGAATGAATATTTAGATCAAGACCCAGAGCAACTTTATGAGGTGCCAGAACCCAACTTAGCTCAAGTCAGCAAGAAAGTCAATTCTGCTGGAAATTTATTTTGCAAATAAAATATGGCTGCTGTTTCCTCTATTTCCTTGAGCTTCCAGAATCTAATTCATTGCTGAAAATCAGAGTATGCAACTTTCTGTTCATCATCCATCTTAAACTGAAACCTGCTGTGCCAAGTTCTGAATAATAAAGCTGAATAAGATTTTTACAACTAAGGTAAGGGCAAAGAAGGGAACCACCAGCGTGTGTTAGCTGTGTTGATAGTTGTGGCTTCAATGGAGAGATACCTAGATGGCCTAGATTGAGCAATTATTTTTTTAAAGCAAATTAAGGCCCTTTGGTACCCCACACTAACAAATCAAAAAATTAATTATGTCATTCTGATAATAGGAAGAAACTAGATAACAGTAGTGAAATAGAGTTTTTTATTTGGCCAGTATTGGTAGAAAAGTGTGAATATGCTTATCAGTGAAATGAAACAATGATATGTAATAGTATTTTCAACTAGGATTCTCTTCCATGTGGAAAAGCAAAGGCATATGATCATTAAAAAGTCTTTATATTAGGGTGGGGGGAGGGGCAGTAAGGTGACACCATTACTTTGTGCTGATATTCTTCATAATTCCTTTGCTAGAGGGCGCTTTCTGAATTTGATTCTTGTAAATCAAAGAAAGAATGTTGTAACTGACATTTCCATTAAGTTGCTTTTAACTTTTATACCCTTGGGTTTTAGCATTTAGTTCTCTGTAATGGCCACCGGATGCCCACTTTATTCAGACAATAAAGATACCCATTGAGCTGTGGTAAGATCATTTCCTTTGGAACAAAATGAAAAGCTTTCTGCACTCACAATTGGAGGAAAATGTAAAATTTTAGTAGGCCTCTTCTGCTGAGATTGAAAAGAGTCCATGTTTGAACACCATAAACTTTGTGGTTCAAATGTGCTGTGGAAATTTCCAGGCTGCCTTTGAAATAAAAGAAGCAAATATACCTTTTCAGAGTGTTTTTGTAATGGGTCCTTAGAAATACTTGGAAGAAGAGTAGTATTTCACATCTTTGTTGGGATCGTTTTGGGATCAAAAGATCCTAAGATCGCTGGTACATTATGTTCTAGAGTGGACCTGATTTAAATTACTTATGAGAGAGAGAGGGAGGAAGGAGAATGAGGAGGTAGAGGGGAGGGAAGGAGGGTATAGGAGGAAAGAAGGGAGGAAGGAGGTAAGGAGAAAAAGTTTGTGTGCATGTATATATACCTGTAAACCTAAATGTTTATGCTCACCTCACATAATTTTTGTATACATCTTCCTCCGGTTTTCAGACAGTCTAATATCTGTGAATTCTGTGATTAAATTTGATTATTTTATTATTTTTGAGTAATCTCTACACCCAATGTGGGGCTTGAACTTGTGACCCTGAGATCGAGAATCACATGCGGTAACCTACTGAGCCAGGCAGGCCACCCCTAAATTTGATTATTTTTGAAATTTATTTTTATTTTTTTATTTACTTATTTTGTAATTTTTTTTTAAGTTTTTTTAATTTGGGAGAGAGAGAATGAGCACAAGGATGAGCATTGGGAGGGACAGAGAGAGAATCCCAAGCAGACTCTGCCCTATGAGCACAGGGCCTGATGCAGGGCTTGAAGTCGGGAACTGTAAGATCATGACTTGGCCTGAGCTGAAATGAAGACTTGGATGCTCAGCCGACTGAGCCACCCAGGTGCCCCTAAATTTGATAATTTCAGGTGAAATCTGCATCTACATCAGGAAATATAAAAAATAATGATAGTGATAGCGCTTGGCACTGTTTTAAGCACATAATGCCTATGAATTCATTTAGTCCTTAGAGTAACCCTATTATTATCCCATTTTTACAGTTGAGGAAACAGGCAGAGAGACATGGAGTAACTCATGCAAGGTGATGCAGTTAGTAAATAGTGGGGCTATGTTCAAAACTGGATCATCTGTCTTGACTTCGTTGAAAGCAAATTAAAAATTAATTGAAGCAAAAACCATGAGATTTGAGTCATTCCTAAATCTACCAGTTCATCTTGTAAATCAGAGGCTTTTCTGTTAGTGTTTACAGTGTTTCATTTAACTGAAATAATTTAATCTGAGCCCCTTGTTTCACAATCCACGTTTTAAGTTACTTTCCACAGTAAGCATATACTTTATAAATTATTTCAGTTGTAAATCTGACATACATTGAAGGACAGTAAATTTAGCTAATCAACATGAGAAACTTTAGAGAGCTACTTGTCTCCTCTTTTCTTAGGGAAGAAAGATGAGCTCTTTCAGTTCCCAAAGGAGTCCTCAATTTAAAATGAATGATTCCCCTGGAATAAAATATTCTTTCTCCTCCTGCAGAAAGCAGCTACTGCTTTCAGAAGCTGAAGTCATTTTTCTCTTCAGTGGTCTGTATTTAGTCCTGATGTGTGTCTCCTGCCAGCTTTCTTTCTTTCTTTGAAACTTCATCAGCAGCATAACTAGTGATTCACCCTTCTTGAAATAAATGCTGAGGTTGGTGTTCTACACAGATGACTTCTGAATGCCCAGGTCACAGCCTGCGCTCTGGCCCTGAGTTAGCGATAGGTAAGGAGCCCCTCCTGGGGGAGATGTGATCGCAAAGTGATGAAGAACTTAAAGCCAAGAGCAGTGCCTGGCACCTGGGAAGACCTCAGGAGACATCTGCCCCTGCTATGGTTGTTGTGTGTTGGGCCCTTGCCTTGTGCATTGCCTAGTTGAATTCTCTTTGCATTCCCATCAAGGAGGTGATGGTCTGTCCCCATTTACAGTAGACACTGCAGTTTAGAGAGGTGAAGAGTTTGTCCCAGGCCATATGGGTAGTAAGTGGTTACAGCTATGGTGCAAACTGGGT